TTTTGGCACTTGAGCAATAAAAATGGATTTCGATAGGTTTTTTCCCGTAGAATTCGGATCCGAAAAGAAAATTAACGAATTGGCTCTAGTTTTTGCAAAAAACGGTGTCAAATGTGCAAAAAAACGTGTTTTTGGCCATTTTTGAGTACCTGTAGGAAAATAACGCGAGCTAATAGAACCTTCTAAGTGGGATGAAATTAAAGCTTGAACCTTGGCCTTTTAAACTAAAAAGAAAAAATCAGGTATCATAACCTTGGGGTACTCGGGAAGAGAAAAGGTATCAGGGCAAATCTACGGTGAATATGCTAGCCGATTATTGTTGGATGCTCATTCGTGATTCTTCTCAAACTACCTATAAACGGAAAGCACAACGATCCGTGAAAATACAGGGGAATCACATTCCAAAAAGCACATAGAGGAAAAACGTTTCTTTGCATTTAATATATACGTATTTGTTTGACTTGTATCTGTTTCACTGAAAATAAATAATATTTTACACGAATATTATTTTATTGTTGAATATTATTATAAAATTATTCTTTTGTTATATATAATCCCGATTCGGAAGAGACAATAGTATTTATATAAAAGCACCCAGATTACTAAGTTAGAGAACGTAGAGAATAATGCGCGCGGAGAGGAAACCATGTACTGAAATTGGTGCGCGCTCGTATAGAAAAGCTGTTCCCGAGTACCCCAAGGTCATGATACCTGATTTTTTCTTTTTTAGTTTAAAAGGCCAAGGTTCAAGCTTTAATTTCATCCCACTTAGAAGGTTCTATTAGCTCGCGTTATTTTTCTACAGGTACTCAAAAATGGCCAAAAACACGTTTTTTTGCACATTTGACACCGTTTTTTGCAAAAACTAGAGCCAATTCGCTAATTTTCTTTTCGGATCCGAATTCTACGGGAAAAAACCTATCGAAATCCGTTTTCATTGTTTAAGTGCCTGAAAAAAAGTTCAAAAATGTCGGACAGTGTTATCCATCCTTGCTGTAGAATCAATATTAAAGTGTACAATCAGTATCAATGGTTGTAAAGTTTCTTTTGGCAGTGCATTATAAGAGCATCTGTATTTTTTACATCACATGAAAAGATAGCAGAGCTTTTAAATAAAATGGCAGCATTTGATAAATATTTCTTTCCAATTATTTACCACAAATAATACTTTGCACAAAGATTATAGTTGGCAAGGGAAGATCAAGTTATTCTTTTCGTTGTGCGCATTCACAGTCTTCTATTACACAGCTGATTCCATTAATTTATTATAATAAGAGAATCTCCAGCAAAAATTTTTATATATTGGCATTAGTTTATGTCGACATGTTTACAGTGAAAAAAATGAATATTATGCTCTTATTAATTTACAAAAGAATGCAAATATCTCGAAAATTCCTCAATCAAGAGTATAATGAAACAAATTATTTGCACTCATAATTATTTTTCTTACTACATATTTTCAAAATTAAAAAAATTAAATAAATTAAAAAAGAATAAGAACTATATGTATATAAAATAGAATGACATCACCTAGTTGTGTCTTTTGACCATTGATAGTCTAAATTAAATAAAACTTACAGCTATAAATTTTTTTAAACGTGCTCCACACATAGTGCACATGAAAATCCTACAATTAAATTTTTCAGTCGCTATAAAATGTTACATGGAAAACGTGCGTAATTTGGATGATAAAAATCTAATAGAATTGAAAAATTATTAATTTAAATATCACCGTAATCTTCGTTATTTATTACTAAATAAATTAGGCTACTAAATGCATTATGAAATCAATGTATACCTAAGGCAATTTGTCACGCGGTTGTTGAAGCGTATAAAAAAAGATACATTAATCAGTATTGATGTCTATAATTATGACGTCGGGGATTTATTGAATCTTGATGATGTCGGAAGCTACTTTGCCAGCTTCTGCTGCGCCTATTCCAACTGAAAGAAGGATGATTACGTTAAATATAATATCATATTATATTTCGTTAAATTATAATATTTTCGTTTTAAGTATTTAGAATTATTTCTATACTTACTTCTGTAACTTCTTCCGTCTTTTGTTGGGTGGGCTACCAAGTTCGCTTTCATGTATAATTTGTAACGCTGAAGGTACAAATGTATCATCTGCTAAAATAATTTATAAAATTTTTAATATTAAACACATGATATATATATAAATTTCCGCATATTTTACAATGAACACATACCGAACGCATCGTTATATTTTCTTTTCGAGATATATCGTTGATGTTGCTGGAGTTGTGGCATAGCCTCTCTTGCGCTACCGACTGTACAATCCCATGTACCTTTACATCCCTTCAAGTGCTCTAATTGGTCATGTAGATAAGATCTTTCAGTGGGTGTCAAAGATGACACTCTATTCCATTGTTCAAATGGATCTAGCAGGGATTCAGATAACATTAATCATTCCGCTTATTTAAGGTTTTGTTTTCTGAGATTTTATTTATACTTACCGATTCTTAAATTATAATACGTCACTAATCCCGTAGTAAACTCGCAATAAAGAAAATTGTGCGTCACGTTAATTGTGCGTATGCACGAATACGTGTTATTATTAGCATTCATGCAAAAGCAGAATGGTCCCGCATTCCACAGAGGTGCGGTGCGCCAGTGATCGTTATCGTGCTCGAAGCAGTTCATTTTCTCCGTTAGACACTCCTTTTCCAGCTTGGCTTTCTTTCTGAGCTTTCGCTCTTTCTTCTTCAAGCGCTCCTCCTTCAATCGCCGTCTCTCCTCTCTAGCGATCTCTTTCTCATCCTTCTTCGTATCCGATTCGCAGTAACATTTATGTCGCGCTTCTAACGGATTGTTCGACAACGGCGGCAGGCGACCGTTATTAGTAGTCGTCGTGATACCTGCATTAAAAATTATTTAAAAATAATAAATGAAGATCGAAGATATTTTATTTAGAATTTTACCTTGTTTGTGTTTCCTGTCGGGAGCTTCAAGAATGGTAACGTCAATCCTGGCTGGTCCGAGAAGTCCCGACGTTCTGTTCTTTTGTACCTTAGGATATCTTTTCATCGGCGATGTCGTAGTCGTTGGTGTCGTAGACATACTTCGAGATCGATCAACGCTCGCATCTTGACTGATAGCCGAGTTGGTTCCTGGCACTTCCGTTATGTGCGAAGTCATTGCCATAGTCGTTTCGGTAACTGTGACCGATTCCGTAGTATGATCTTCGTTGAAATCGTTAGTACTTCTGAATACATCAGCGATTCTTTGTCGCGTTGTACTTCCTTCTACGATTGTATTGGTCGCAGTCGTAAATTTGTGCTGATTGTAATTGTATCTCTCACCAGTCGTAGAATCTTGCGTAGACGATGTAGCATCGCTGCTATCAGTTGTATTCATAATAAGCGTCACACGCGGAGCATTGTCGTGTACGCTGTTCGTAAGCAGCGTATTATTTTTGCGATGGTGATGCACTTTTCTGCGCCTCTGTGGCTTATCCTCGTCGATTTCCGTTCTGTTCGTAGAAGTTTCCTTATTTTTCTGGCGACGGGGCGATTTCCTCGGCTTAATCGTCGTAAAGATTGTCGTTATCGGCGTCTCAGTGACAGTTTCCGTGGTAGAAGTTTCAGTGGTTGTACTGTATTTATTGAATTTCCTCTCCGTTGAAATTGAAACTTTATCGTCACCTAGAATTGTACTAATTTTCGCAGCAGACTCCGTCGTCGAGCTCGTGATACGATCTGTAGTGGTATGAGCAATCTTATCGTGTTTTTTATGATGACGACTCGCATGATTTTTTGGAGGATGATGAGTTTTATGCGAGCCGCGAGATTCTTCTGCGTCAGCGAGTTTCTCCTCATTATCCGGGATGAAATGTGGACGTTTGATCATTAAATGCCGGCGAATCTCCTGTAAAAAAGTCGACGAAAAAGAAAAATTTAGAATCGAAATATCGTATATCGTTTAGTCCATAGATTTTTGTCTGATATAAAAAGATTGGCGTAATAAAAAGATAACTAAAAAATTGGCAAGATAATTCTTTTATAATTATAGAGAAAAAAATAATGCACAAAATTTCGAAGAGAGATTTTTATATTTTATTATAAATTTAGCAGCTAATTTTTTTCTAACTTTGACTAAGCCTTAATTAAAAACAAATTATGAATGCAATATACTTTCAACGTTTCCAGCTGCATTCGCATATCCCGGATCTGCTGCTCGATCTCTCGTCTCGAGATTCGCCACTCGTTAGGATCTTGATACACAATTTCAGTGCAATTTACACCCCCTTCCGGTAAAACCAAGCACTTCGGCGATAACGCTTTTTCTACTTCGGATGATTGACGATCTCGTGTTTGCTATCGATAAAAGAATAAATTTTTTATTCCAAGATTTACGTATATAAGATAATAGCACTTTGTCAAACGTTACCTTTAAGTCATCCAGTTCTTCCTCTATACTTTCCATAATCTTTGTGACATGTTCTATAGGGTCTTTCTTCGTGACACTCCTCCGCACCCTACGGTGCCTTTTTATTACGTCGTTCACATTAAGTCGACCTTTTACAACTTTATCTAGAGTGAGATCGAAGTCGTATAGCAAATAGTCGTAATCCAAGTAGTTGATTTTATCTTGTTTGTCAGCATCATAAATGTCCGCAACTCTTGATCGATTGTTATTTCTATAAAATATATGTCATCTATATATTTTATGATAAAAAGTATTTTTGCTGCGATATTTAACGATTACTTTCATACCTAGATGATCGTACACTCTTGTGGTCCAGCTTCACTTCCCGCGCGAGCATATCTAACTCTTGAAGAAAGTCCTCGTCGTCTTCCTCATCAATAGCACGCCTATCGCGTTCATCTCCGAAATTAAAATCATCGTACAAGTCCTCGTTATTTTTCTTGCTTGATATGGTACCGTCTGATACTTCTCGCTTGCCTACGTCGAATTATCTTATAATTATCTTGCATAATAATTAATTTGAATACAACTAATTTTATAATGATTATAATAATTTAAAGAACTAATGATAAAACTATTGTAATAAAGCTAAGGACATTCACCTCGCTTGGTGAAGTATCCCGTCATATCGCTGTAAGGATCCATTCGACGGTCTCTCGAGAAACCGTATCTCTGCTTGTCATAATCGTTAGATTCAAGCCTCGTATAGATCACGCCGTTGGGCGTGAAACAAGCGCACTTCTTCGACACTCTTTGCGGCGGCAGGGGTGCCGCGTACCTGCACTTGTGCCGTCGCCACCGGTGTCCATCCCTCTCGCATCGCCACTTCTGTCCGGGAAGACAATCAGCCTGTGCTTCCGGTCGCGAGCACTCCGCCGCGAGACGCTCGTGTTTCGTCGCGTAGGGCGTGTGCACCGGATGCACCCTATTGTCGAGATGCGGATCCGAGCCTAAAAATCGCGAATATATAAATCTCAGATTAATATCGTCGTTAGATCCAAATTTTAAATTACCCACAAAATTAGTTTTCAAGCAATTACATATTCTTTTATTATATATAATATATAATATATTATATATTTATATATTATATAATATATAATATATATATAATATATATAATATATTATATATAATACTTTAACAGAAATTATTTTCTCGGTGCATTATTTTATTTAGTTTCTTGAAATTTCCATCCAAATGTAAGATTGTCGTATCGCATCAGAAAGGAAACCGAGGTGGTTTACGAATGAAATCACCAGCCTCTAGTGAGAACGGATGTATAACCATAAAACGTTTACGATATGGAAAACACTGAGATATAGAATGATCAATGTGACTTCATATTCAAACAGACACTCATAAAGCTAAACATAATGTGGCGCGACGTTAGAGGAACGGAACTCGACTTCCTCGAAGCTCCACGTCTGCGACGATAAAGAGAAATTATTTGACGATGCAGACTCCATCGCGGGCGAAAAAATAAGCTGCCATTTGCGAGTCGGACACCAATAAAGTAGGATTAGAACGTGAACGACGCGTTTCCTAGCTGAAAAAACAGCGCGTGCGAAACGGCCTCTTCATCGCGATAGTTCAGTGCGTCCAAGTTTACATTCTTTATGCAAGGTTGGGATTCTCGCGTTTGGAAAGGTCGTATGATGTGTATATACCCGGTTTTTACTCGCACCGTCGCCAAAAATATCCTCGTAACAAAGTGCTCTCCTAATAATCTCGAGAGGAAAATAAGAAGAGAGGTGTCCCCCCGTCAATCCCAGGGACCGGGTATTTATGCTAATGCATACCAGGGAAAGAACTCGTTCTTCCGCGCGTGTACGCGTAATACGCGACGTACGCATCTGGCGTAACGGTAGGTTTTATAATGCAACTTTGCTGCACACGCATCTGCTTTCGAGCCAACGGATCTATCCGGGATCTCTGGGAAATCAGTGTCGCGATCTTATTTTAAAAAACTTATACATGCATTAAATAAATATATATATATATATATATATATATATATATATATATATATATATAATAATAATATATATATATATATATTATTATTTTATTTTATATATATATATATAGAATATGAATGCATTAAAATATCCGTTTGATTATGTTGAGAGCTAGTATTTTCTAAATTTCTAAAGATATATATAAATATGTGATTAGCAATGGCAAATAACTCACTTGTTTCGTCGATAATTGAATCTTCGAACTCTTCGTCGTCTGAAATATCCTGGTCGCTTCCGGTATCGTTTTCTGTAAATCGATGCTCCACTTCAACGTCGGAGTCCGTATCGGTGATATCGTCGTCCTCCTCTTCCGGTGTCGAGCTTGGCGACTGCTTAGCCTGTGTAGTATTTTGCCTCCTAGCTTCTCGCACTTTCGACTCAGCGATAGATTCCGGAATTTCGCGACGTCCAGAGGACTCGATCAGGAATGTATCAGGCCACTTGAACTTCGACCTTCTGCCGTGCTTGCTGCTGTAACAACGGGCTTTACTCACGAACGGGAAATACGATCGATGCTACAGATGGTTCGCTTTAAATAGAGAGAGATTGCACTTCGCATAACGTAATTATTAATGTTGTAATAATTTAATGAAGTTAAAAAAGATGAAAATTCAGCTCGCTGTGAAGTGAAACCTGTAAAAAGTACCGCCGCAAAAAGTCTGCTTTAGTAACATAACTTTACTTAACCAAGTCAGAAAGTTCTGACAAATTAATGAAGTTATAAAACAGGTATTTTAACTCGTTGAAATCCGGTTACGCGACCCCCATTAAAGTTAGGCATTCAAGAATATTAAGCTCAATATTCAATTGAAAATTACTTCATTGACAATATTGTAGGAGTTTTACGCGCGCCATACGTAACATAACGCATCGTAATAAATGATTAGTAAGTAAAAAATAAAATTATTCTTTTGAATTTTTTAAGCAAATTTTTCACTAAAAAATTCACAGCTAAATTAGAGTTTCGCTAAAACTTTTTCATAGACAATGCAAGTACAATGCATAAACAATATGTATTTGGATTTTATACATTTGTATACTACATTCAATCTTCGCAAATAATTCTCGAATATTCCAATGTTTTTGAAACATGATAAAATAGCAAGCTTAAAGATTCAAAAAGTACGATTGACGAAAAAAAGTTCTGATGTACTCACTTGAGAAAGAGTTTCTTGAAAGAGCGACCGTCCATCTGCGACGGCGTCTCGACGCCGGCGATATCCAGGAACGTCGGCGCCAGATCGATGTTCAAAACTATGTCGTCTACTCTGCAATGTTATGTAGATGTTTTATTGTTGACCCAATATCAGGGTCTTATACTTTTCAATTTATTTGTTCTTGTTTGTAACGATTTATTTGTTCTTAAACGAGTTTCTACGAGAACAAAAGTCAATGTATAATTTGCCATCGAAGTTTCGCGGACTACAGCATTATAATGACTCAGCACTGTATACTTAATATTCTATAAAGGCTCTTATAGCCATATGGCTGCACTTTCGGAGTGGCTGAGCTACTTGAAATACAGAACGTTTATTGACTCTGCGACATTTATTGATATTTGATTGCTTTCTGAGATATTGGACAAATCTAGTTAAAATTTCATTATAACGTTATTACAAAGAAAACTTTTAGTTTTTATTGAATTAAGTTTATAGAACAGGAAGATTCCGAAAAGACCGGTTCAATTTTATAAAAATACTACTCATAATTCAACATTTGGACTAACGATCGCAAATTCACGTTCATATTATGATTTGGGAGTTTGTCGTCTATTTATTCAGTTATCATGTTATAGCGTCTGTTTTTTTTTCGTGGTTCAGTTTCATGGTCAGTAAAGATAATTTATCGCGTATTCGTAGCTCACAGTAGAACCGTAATTCCAGAAGACGGCAAGACAACGGCCACTTACGGGCAAGCGCTTTATTTATTACCGTGAAATCTTGCCGGGAGTTTAAGCGAACAAGTAGATTGTACGTTTGATGTCGAACCGTGGCAGCGGCACATCGCGGTGCTTTATTGCGCTATCACATCCTTATGTTTGTAGCGAGGAGTTATTGCACGGCTTTAATGAAAAGTCACTGGTTCTATATTTTTTTAACGATATGGTGTAATCATACAGTTGCAAATGTTTGTGGACATTGGCTGGTGATTATTTCTACTCTTTACAAGCATCGCTCGTTAATCTTTTAATTTTAATAGTATATGAATTTAAATTCTTAACATAACAGAGATTAATTTGTGCCTAAAATTCTGTAATGGTTATTTATTTAGATAGTTATTAAGAAAAGCATGCGATTAAATTTCAATAATAGAGAATCTATATTAAATATTTCATTGAGAGACTTACACGGATCCAGGTTCGATGCCAGGACCTCTAATAAGGAATGGCACCCTCACGTCGAACTCGAACGGAAAGCTCTTGCCTTTGATAAGCCCGAATTGCCCCAAGTGATATCCGTGATCGGACGTATAAATAATATACGTGTTATCCAGTTCACCCAAATCTTTCAATTCTTGATAAATCTGCGTCAATATTAATGTAACACGTATTAATGTAACATGAATAATGAATTATTTTGAAAACCAACGTTTTTATTGAATTTATAAAATAGCTTTTTACAATAACAGGATGATATTGGAAATTTTATACATTGTAAATAATTCCGTGCAAATTTTACGCATTATACGTACTCTGTCTACAGCAGCATCGACGCTCTGTAGAGTTTGCAGTCGTTTCGTCATTAATAGATCTGTGAACTGTTTGTGAATAGGTTGCATCTTCTGCGTAACTTGCAGTATCCATTGTTTATCGGGATTCGGCGCGTAATCGTATGCCGGTGTGCTGAAATACAAAAATGCGGACGTTATGCTAAATATTTATAATTCATGTGTCTGTTTATTGTTTTTTTTTCCATAGTATCCAAAGTATCGAGAACACTTTCTTTTATAGAAGTTTCAGACATAAATTTCAAAATACTCTTATATCATTTTATATCATTGCGCAATATTAGGAAAACCGCGCAACGCTAAATAGTTTTCCAATATCGGTCTTCGTGGTACTCGTGAAATATTAAAACGATTTACGATTTCGAATATCTAGCATTTCCTGAGAAATTCCCATAGGATCATCCTTCATTCGAGCTTCCGTCTCCGCTAGAAATTCACCAATAGCTAATTCGCTGCTACATTGCGAAATCTTGGCAGCCACGCGACGTCGCCCTTAATCACAATCGCGGTCCTCCGGTAGCGAGGTCTTAACGTGAAGCGGTTGGGATTTAGGAGCGTGCAACATAGTTTTGTCCCAGGAATCCTTGGTAGCTAGACCGAAATTGAATTAATCTCCCGTGGCTAGCGAGACGCCGATGCGACTACGGGGTGAATGGGGACTCTCGAGACGGGCCGCCATCTCTTTCTCCTCCTCCAATTACGCGAGACGCGAAATTATGGATAATTGGCCCTTTACCTTCTTCTTTCAAGAACGCTCATACTGCACGCACGATCTTTGTCTTATTGATGGGTTTTCGTGCAAAATTCGCAGCGCGAACAGGTTTCTGAGGTCTGCAAAGTTGGCACCCTGAAAGGCGAATTTTTGTAAAATTTATACGGCATTTGATTGTTCATATATTATTTTTTTTAACCATTTTACAGAAAAAAAAAACAAATATGTTCAAATCGTGGACAATCAAATGCTGCATAAGTTTTATAAAAATTCACTTTTTGGGCTGTCAGCTTCACGAACCTACGTTTCAAATCACACATACGCTCTAAATTTCAGAAAAAAATAAACAGTCGCTAAAAGATAAAAAAGATTTGGACAAATTCAAAGCTTTAAAGCTACAAATAGAAAATAAAATTTTTCAATTTAAGACAATATATTTGATGGTTTAATTGAGAAACTGTTGTTTTCATTTTCCATAAAATGAGTTTATCGAGTTTTGCTAAGAAGCAAAACACTATGCAATAAAAAATTTGCACAAAGATTTGTATAGAACTCAGTTGAAATATAATAGATTTCGTTCTTAGCACAAAGTCTAATTGGTTTATTTGCGCCACGACCCGATGGAAACGAAGCAGATGTTCTCTGAAAGAAGCGAAGAGGAAAAGGAGCTAAGTACTTAAGCAGGAAAAGACGAAGCGAGGAGAAAGGGAGAGCGGGAGCTTCTTAATACCCGCGCAGTCCGCGTTAATTCTATTGCACGATCTTTTGACTCTCTTGTGCACGTTCGCCGTCATAAATCCTCCGTGCTTTATGCAAATTTAAAACAAAATGCGCAATCCGACCGCGTCGGTCCCGAACGGAGAACGCTGCCGTCTCGCGTCTGGCAGCCGCGTTTCGTCTCGAAATGCCCTCCTTAATTGCGGCCTATTCTGCGTTTACCGTCTCGCCACGACCACTTAACTCGCCTGCGAGACACCACGAATTATATTTACACCCAGACGGATGTCATCGCCTGCTCTCTTATGTCCTCGTTCGTCTCCGCGCAACTTCCTTCTTTCCCGGAGAAGTATCTAATTTACAAGGACAAATTGGGGACGAAAGCAAGGTGCGAATATCCTAGTGATGGTTGAATTGGCTAAACGTAGGATTTAATTGTCACGTTGTGTTTCACCGATCAATGAAAAGATATATTTTAACGAAAATTGTTTTTGCTAATATAACAAATTATTTTTAAATAATTGACAGTGAAATCGGAGTAAAATCACTTGTTGACGCTTGTTTAAAAAAAAAGGAAAATTTTATCTTACCAATATAAACCCACGCGTTTGTTTCCGAGACACGCCTCGGTCGTATTTTCCGACACGTTCCTGCAGAATGCTTGTTTCTCAATTACATTTGCAACGACCGGTTCTCATGTGCATTAAATACAAATAAAAGCGTCCTTACTTCATTCGAATGACATCAGGTAGGAAAAAACGGTAGGAAGTTTCAGATCTTGTCGGGAGGAGGAAGCTCATAAACTCATGTCTGGGGTGGGCGAGTTCAGTTCTAGTGTCGGCACGCAAACAATAAAACTTTACGTTCGCTGTATCTAGCCCCTTGTGTGCAAAAACGGTAAAACGCAAATGCTCTTTTATCCTGTTGACCTTAGTATTCGTGTACTATACGGACTGTCCTTTGTAAAATTTGCAGATGTAGAGAGGACTCGTCCTCTTTTCGTACTTCGTGTCGGAAGATATTTCTTTACTATGCAAGACATCGTTGGAAACAGTTGCATTCTCTTTTGATAAAACATATACAAGTCCCAGAATTGGGAACAATTCTGAATACGAACGAACAATTCTATTAAAACAAAATATGTTTGAAATCTAATATAAAATAAACTTTTCGCGATATTGCACCGTAGCGATAAAAAATTATGCAAAAATTGTTTATATCTTTAAAAATTAAAATGAAAGAGAGAGAGAGAGAGAGAGAAACATTAGTTTTGCGCTTGGAAAAAGATATGGAAATTATCATATTTTTACTGAATACTGAATTTATTTCGACTTTATTTATTTTTACTTTTTGCTCTATGATAAAAAAAGCACAAGTCATGTTCCAGCGAATTACGCAAAAAGACGTGATGTTACGAAACGCGAAAATCGGTTCATTCGTCGACATACGAAACAGCGAACGTCAACTTACACACGGCATATTCATATATTATATACGGTATATTTATACCTATCTATAAATACATCATGTCTCATACATACAAATAATCGAACTTCATCTGATGCTTTGAATCGCGGCGAGTTATTAACTTTATTTAAGAAGCTACACAGCCATTAAGCTAAGCTTTATGGCTACAAATTTGCATGTCTTTTTATATGTCTGTTTACTTATAGAATTTTTTTAAAATCTCATCTTTTATTATCTCAGCTTTCACTAGTATTTCGCAAAGAGAAAAAACTGGGCAAAATTAAAGAACAGGAAAACCTATTTAAAAAGCGGAAAAAGCTAGAAAAAAGTGTCCTGTTAGTGATTCAGGATTGTAAAGCTTGGCAATTAGGTAAACATGGTTGTAATTTCGCAAAGCTATTATCACTAAACTATCATTAAAATGAAACGCTTATTATTAATTTACAATAGTTGCCTCGCGATGCACTTAACGCCCTTTGATCGGGAGAGAATTAGATTAGCGCCCGGCTGGTGATTACTTAAAGGCGCGTCGATAAAAGCGCCCTGAAAGCACGTTATTGTGCATGCCGCCCGACACATTAATTTCTGTCGATTAGCTTTTGAGTGGCGACACGACGGGAAATGGTGTGATGTACGAGCGCGCGGAATGAAAACCTTGGTATTAAAACACTGATTGGCGGCTGCCGCCGCGTAAATGGCTGTGATGTCGCGTTATAATTAAATATAATTTACAATGTCGAAGCGCTAACCGATTCCGCGAAAGGTACGCGCGATATAAACGTAATTTAACATTCTGCGAGCTCTTTTTATTGCCGCAACTTTTTTACCGGTATTTTCGCAGTATATTCGATACTAAATATGACTTTATGTTTCACATTTCAACAATTTTCGAACTAGACAAATAAATTCTCAAGTTTTACCTGAAAAGTTTGAATATCGCGAAATATTTTCAGGATATATGCTGTGGGCTTGTAAAGAAAAAAAAACATTAAATCCAAAACTATATTCTTGATGCAAATAAATTGCAACTTTTTCGATAAATTGTGTTAAATAAATTTCATAATTTTTCGAAAATGTGAAAATGAACTGAATGTGTTTTCTGTTTAAATAGCGCTTATGTAATAACATTAATCCACATGCTTGTATTTTTGGATTAAAAGCTCTTTCGTGCAAGCTCATTACATATCCTCCTTTGGAACTAGACATTCGTAATTAACGCTGAATGCATATTGAGAGTGCAAACTTCAGCTTGAGATCCTTTACGCGCGTGTTCTTTTTATCATCGCCGGAGATGTCTGTGCTCGAATCATTAAGCAAAGTTCCCCGCGCCATCTCCATGATGACCGTCGACAAAATAACAAGCGCGATAAATCATCCGGCGAAGCCTCGTCCCTCTATCGCAAAACAAGGTGAAATTTCAACGAGTTTTTCCTTTGTCCCCGTGTCTTGGAAATCCGGTAATGAATCGCACGCTGTCACGGACGTACACACGGCCCAAAAGCTCTTTTTATTCGATGTGGCAGGAGACAAACGCGCGCACACAACCGCGACGCGATGACGCCGATGGCGGGCGTCGCGCCGGCTCGCTATTTTCTCACGTGAAACTTGGCACTGGAAATTTGCGCACGGCGCCGCAAATAAGCATAAAAGTTTATTATTGAGAGCCCATGCTCTTAATACACGCCGGCGAAAACGATTTCATCGACCGAGATTCCTCGATATAAAATTGCATGTTGTTTTTTCCCTTATTTTAATCGTGCAAATCTACTTTCCAAGAAATTATCAAAAAGATCGAGAAGTACTGGCTTATACGTCTCGTAACATTCTATTAAAAATTAGCTAATTGATGCGTCTACTGTATTGTTGTCTAGTCAATATTTTTATTATCTCGGCAACGTGAAATAAACTCTCGTCGAGGATCAGAACGGTTCGCGCGCTCGCTATCGCTATTCCACTATTCCACTTTTGTTTCGATTTTCTGCGACACCTGTGTCGGACAGTACGGGCATTTTTTTTCTCACCACCATCGCAGACACAGGTGTGCGTAATAATACCTGTCTCTCGTCCGCACAATAACGAAGCGCGCGACGGGACCGCAAGGGCTCGCGTTTTCACTGCTTTTCATCGCGCTCTCGGCGATCTAGTAGGGCACTCCATCACTTGACGATGACGCCATCGCGGCTGCGGATGTCTATCCCGCGGTCGTCTAGTCTAGTCTAGAACTGTGCACCCCTTCGCACCTCACCCCGACCTCGTTCGCATCTTCTACCCCCTTTTATGCGCTACGCCAGCGAGACGCGGATTTCACGCGAACGGAGATAAACATGCGAATTTACTGGCGTTCGACGAGCGACCGAGCACACGTCGCATTGTTCGGGAAGAATGAAAAGTGCGGAGGGGAGGGAGGGATCCGACTCGTCGACGTCGAACGGAGGGTCGCCCTCGCGTTCCCGTTTTTTTCCCCCGCACGCGCACGGGGACAATCCTTATTGTGCTCGGAGTGCGACGGAGTGTCGCGCGGCACGTTCTCCACTGCACGTTATCGGGAGTGGAAAAGCGGTTGCAACAACGAAAAATAATAGGTGCGCGTATATGCGGTCGACTGAGTACGATGAAGTTGCGGTTGTCATGGCAGCATCGGCGCGAACGAGCCGGCTCGATATCAACGCCAAGCGATCCGGAATAACGTCAAGGTTGGTAATCGCATATAAACGCGACGGCTCTCTGGCTTTTACATCACTGCTTTCCGTCGCTTTTCTTCAAAAGATGCAAAGTTTCTCATTCTCCAAAAATTATTCTATCTATCGTATCGCACCGATTGCATTAAATAACGTAATAGAAAGATAAATAATCATGGAGATAAATTGAAATTCATCGTCTCACTTTTGTTATTATTGGCGTTCCACTTCATCGTGATGAAGTTATGCGCAGTGCAATCGTGGAAGGAGAAACGTAAACACCCTTTCGAAATGGGTACTTCAAAGAGAAGGGAACCGCGTAGACCGCAGCAAATGATGGATGCAAAGGAGCGAAGTAAAGATGATTGCAGCGTGTTTTTCGCGAAGATAATGTATGCGGAACGCAAGGCAGAACAATGCGCGATTAACGTCGCTTGTCGCGTAACACGATTTGCATCGAAACATGAAGTCTTTATCTTTAGAGTTTGATTTCTTTTTTCAATTTTGCAGTGCTTTGATTCTTATTGATACGAAATTTGAATGGATTTTGTGGTACAAATTATAATTTGCATTTTAAAAATAAATGGCACACGCGTTTTATCGATTTCTCTTTCATCCGGATCTGACTGACGTGAGATATATGATGTTGTTATGCAAATGAATATTCTAGATTAGCAGCCAAAGGACGATTATTAATTAATTTTTTATACATGCACGAGATAATACGAAAATCAGAGAAGAAAGATGATGATTAAACTTCACAAATCTCAATAATTAAGTAGAAATCGAGTAAAAGTATGTTTATTACTTTCAGTGGAACAGGTTCCACATAATTCCACTTGCAACTTTCTTGTTCAGAAAACAACGTTTCGTTTCGCAATTGAACGTGCATACATATAAATATCGCCAGTTTATCATTTGATTAAGACGAGTGAATTGGAGCAATTTACAAATCTTTTTGCGTGCATTTCGTTGCCTGGAAATATGCGTAATGTCACACTCGCCGGTAAACACGGCCGGAAGATTTGTCGTACTTACTGATGAGTGGTGACATTGAAGAAGAGATGTGAGAATTGCGGCGCTGAGTCCTCTGGGCCGTGCGGCGCCGGAAAACTCGCGACCAACATCACCGGCTTCCGGGCGAAATTGTGTTTGCTCTGCCTGAGGAAAGCCACGCTGTCGTTAGCTATCAGGTCCGGATAATAGTCCCGGCTGTACTCGAAGCCGTGCTTTATCTTCTTGCCGTTCATGTTGACGCTGTAGTTGTAGTAGCGGGAGTTCATTATAAGGCCGCCCCATTCCCGCCATCCCGGCGGTATATACGAGCCGTTGTATTTGTTCAAATACTTGCCGAAGTAACCTGAAACGTGCAAAATCGTGGAAATTACGTCGCGTTAGAACAAAGTGACCGGTGACAAATGTATAATTCCGTTCAATTTTAGTCAATGTTCAGAAAAATATTTATACATTTTTCAATTATTTCATACTTTGTAAATACACGAAGTTATTTACTTACCAAGTTAAACGAAAGCACGAAGCATGGCGCAATTGTTAGATTACTAGATTAATAAAGAAAAAAAGCTTTGCTCAGATACCGAATAATAATTAATGCAGGCAATAATTAATGTAGTTCGGACACGCTCCGCTTGTCATAGGAACCAGCACGTGATGAATGAATCAACTGCTTCACGTAATATTTTGACTTTGTAACACGTGTATAACGAAAAAACCGAGGGATAGAATTAATTAAGCTGAAGTTAAAAACACGCAAAGAAAAATTCAAAGTTTAATCAATACGTGAATAATAGCATACATGTAAATTTTTTTATATTTATTAACAGTATAATTATATTAATACAATATTATATAATACAATATATTACCATCTTGATTATAAATTATGTATTTTTTTATTAAAATTTAAAAAAAATATTTATAACGATTTCTATTTCAAATTTTATAGTAAAATTTTTATATCATGAGATAGAAATATAATATATTATTGCAACACTTGGAATTATAAAAATTTCATAAACATTTCAATTTTCTATTATTGCAATGCAATAATAATATAAATCAAAATTAAATTAAAATAATTAAAAGATAAAAAATATTTTGTTTGACAGAAACTTTAATAATGAATAATGATTTAGGAACAAATATATATATTGTTTTGTCGGCTGAATTACAAGCAAAAAATAAGCGAACACTGTTGGTCCGCAAAAATAATGAATATAAAAACGAACGTTTTATTTGATAAAAAGATGAATATCTTGTCTGCTACGGCCCAATAATGCGGAAACGAAAAAGCAAAGGGTCGTAGGTTCTGCGTGGAGTAGTGGTCAACAGCAGTGGCTCGAAAAATGAAAACCTGAGTTCAAACTCAGCCCAACCACTTGCGAAGTGTTCGTAAGTATGACAACTTTTACATTACAACTTATGTTTCTTTCAGTTTAGAGATGGGGTACCAAACATTTCTGTAAGTCCCCCACACTATTAAAAATTAACTGTAAATATATCTGCAAAATATACAGGCAATAGTGCCTGGGGGAAACCGCCTTCTTGATCACGGCAATCCCCTGCAGCGGGTTCGGAATATATTTTTGTTCGTCTTCTGTCTATTATAACCATTATTTTGATATTTTGAATACGAGAAACTCTTTGTGTTATTCTCCATCTATCGTGTAGAAATTGATGTAGTACATGTATTGAACTTGTAAGCTAATCGGCCGCGAATCAGTACTGTGTATATATATACATTCAATGCCTGTGTTGTAAACTTTCATATACTAGATGGAGTTAGCATACATATTTTTTCGTATTCAAATATTTGATCAATTAATTATAATACACAGAGAAAATATAATATTACTTGCATTTGCTTTAATTTTTGGACTGTGAGGGTTTGCATGTTACTCCACACCTAAACTAAAACATAAGTAGTGTAAAGCTGCCGTACGAATATCAGGCAAAGATAATATATCTACAAATCAAATTCGAGTTCTCAATTTGTCAGAATACTGCTCTTTGCTATAGAATTAGACAGAATGCACAACACCATTTATTATACTTATGCTTGATCTGGCTAGACGAAATACATTTGTGTTTTAAATCATGATTGTAATAAAGCTTCGAATAAGATAAAAATATATATTTTGTCGCATGCTTCTATCATCTTTATTTTAATTTAATTTTAGATCATTATTTTCAGTATCTAGTACGTAATAATATTTACGATATTGCACATTTATATATCGATATATAGAATATATGCGTTACATAGAAATATGCGTGAGATACGTTCATGTACTGCAATTGTACATGCACAAACAACGCATTTTAGTATTTATTTGCCGATACATTTCAGGTAGTTTTAACTGAGAAAATAGTGAAGCAAGTTTATAATTGTTAGAATTATCATCAAAAAATGATGCTAGATATATGTAGCAGAGTTATTAATGCATTATTATAAAGCTTTGTATAATGGAAGAAACTTTTTCGACAAGAAATAATTGTCAGAAAATATCACTTACAGTTGATATTGTAATTTTTATCATTTTTTGTTATTGTCATTTTTTCTCACATATTTGCAGTAGGCTTATGTATTGATAAAATCTTAATCATAATCAACATGTTATTTGTTGACAAGCACGATACCGTGATTTATGATAATCTTCAAATATTATTTATCCACGGAAAATATCAGGCGAAAAGTCAGAGAGCTGCGGCTGCATGAATTTGTGGAAAAATTCACAAAGTATACATTTCGCTCGACGATACGGGCGATAAATCAAAAGGCAATTCCATTTTCCGCTTTCTGCCTCCCGTATGAAAGCCCCTCGGTCAAGATTCATCCCGTCTGCCGAAATCTGAATTATTCATATGAAACGGCATTAAATAATTAATTCAAAGACACTACGGTGAGGTTCTGTTCCTTTTGGGTTCCCTTTGCTTCTACCATCAAGATATCCTCGTGCATCAGGATCATATATCGGTCATATAAATATGTCATATATTTATAACATTTATATGATCGCGAGTTTGGACGAGATAGCTTTTCGCCGAATCATACGCGATCAATCATATTACTCTTCTTTTGCGTTAACCGGCGTTTCAATAAATGCTGCGGTAATCATTTTTGGCCGCTAAATACAATGATCTCGTGTGCGAAAATGATTGTCGTTTAATTATTATTCAACGCACGTTATCGATTTCATTTCTTTATGTGAATATTCATAGTGTATTTTATTTTCAAATACTTATAAATCGTGTTTTTCGGTGACAATTATTTTCAATGCAGAAGGATGAATTAAAAAATCTAATCCAGTGTTTTTAACCAGGTCTGATGATGACCGACGCTTAGAAAGAAAAATCTCTAAATGCCCTGCCATTCCCAGCTTAGCGCTTCTCGCGTAATCATAACAACAATCCAATTTCTCTTTTTGCTTGCGCGAGTGGCAAAACCAGAGTAAAACAAACACCGCGTTCTGATTAATCACGCGGCAACGTTGGCTCGAACTTTTCCCGATCGTTGTCCCAGATAACGTCGGTCGGACGACCTTTTGAGAGCGAGACGCGTTTCTCACGGAACAGGTTTAAAAGGATCACGTGGATTCACGCGCGATTTGCATAAATGATTCTCGCTACCTTGTCTACATCCTTATCGTTCGCGATCGTGCTTTAATTATCGATAATTCACGCTTATTGGATTTCATATAGCGAGTTTGTTAAATTAATGACACCATCCACGACGTTATCGTCGTGATCAATCGAATCAATCGAGTCGTTTTGGTTCTCTGAGCTCGGATCTCCCAGCGGATCTAAGTATATGTGCGGCACCATTTATTGCCAAATTGACTCTGATTGTATAATAATTATGAAATAATCAGTGCGTAACATTGTAATTAGCATGCGAAGGAACACATCGACAATTGCGTGGCAATCACGCGAGTATAACACTTACGCAAACACATTTTTTTTGTATATAAATCGAAACGCACGCGACGTTAAATGCTCATGAAGATGCTTATAACAAAATGTGCCTTTTGATTAGAGTATAAACCAGCATTTTTTTCTTAGTTAAAAAAATCTTTTAATCTTTTGTCTAATCACGTGACACCGTTAGAGTGAAGAAACAAAGCAAGATATCGAACAGAAAATTTTAATATCGATTACGTCAGACCAAAAAAGGATGATTTTTGTGGTAACGAATCAATAGCACTGCAAAAAAAGAAATAAAAAAGATCAAGGGAAAATAGAAGAAGTCTGAACATGAAATATAAGGTGATTTATCAAAATTGCAGTCGATTACGCATCGCACCTGTTGCTTCGGGGAGACTAGAAGCGCTGGCTATGATACAGCTCCGCGATAAAGAATATCGGCGTGCGAATTAAAATTCAGGAACGCTATGCGTCTCGAAGATATCCGATCGTAAAAGAACGGAATCGTTAAGTCGTTTGTGGTCGACAAAAGGGGGGAGGCGGAGAAGCAGAAGGACGAAGGAGCGCCGTAATATTCTGGCGCCAGTCGCGGATCGAGTTTTAGTCGGGCCAAACAAGACGAAACAAAACGAAGTGATAGAAGCGGTCGATGCAGCGGGTGTTCTCTATGGAAGAATATGGGTCAGCCAAACGAATAAATTCGCGAAAGGAACATTTCGGTTTCTCCGTCTGAACATCGACGATATCGACAGGCGCCATGCGCCACTTGGCGTTACAATGAGAATGTATCAAGTCTATTATGTATTCTAGAGGCAAGGATCAATCGAAAAAAAATCACGCTTAGATTAAGAATTAAAAGATTTTGATATATAAATTACGAAAGATAAATAACGGAGTTTAAATTTGATATTTAAATATCGAGATATTTTATGTCGAGAATTAAAAAGCCGCGGTAATTAATTTTATCAAAATTTTCGTTAAAAGTTTCATAAAAAGTAATAACAGAAATTTAAAATATCTTGATATTTATTAAAATTAAATAAAAATAATAAATGTTGGCTTATAGTGTAATTAAACAAGTTGACGTGTATCAGAATTTTATCTGCACTGCATTAAAAATTCTGTATATTGTTAAGAGTATTATAAATAATTTAGATTAAAAGCTATTAATATAAATTTGTTATTTAATAGCTTTTTAGTCGAGATTATCGTTGAGAATGGCATATGTCAATTGTAAAAGATTTAACTCATTATCATTTAACTGGAATTCACGAAATGAGATGATATATTCATTTCCGTCACTTAAAGAGTAATGCACCTTCGCGTAGTCGCCGGAAACGCGAACGATGCGGTTTAAAATTATCAGAGTTAAGTGGCGCAAATGAATTTAGAATATTGCGGTGTGCCAGTGCATCGATG